TCAAGTGAAGTTGCAAGAGAGCAAAAAGTATTGAATCTGAAGATACAAGCCATCTCCATCAAATCTTGTGCAAGAAGAGTATTATTCATCACCTAGGGACCATTCTTGAAGATCCACAAGGCCTGGTTCGAAGCTTTTTAACATCTACCATTGCAAGGTTCAAGGTATGCAAAATCTTTCCCACCCTCTGTTTTAGGCATGGCTAGGATTAGTTCTTGTTGTGAAACTATTAGAGACCATTAGGGGATTCATTTGAATGAGTTTTAGACCAATTAGTGAGGTTTCATTAATGGAGGTTGATTCTTGATGGAGGTAGAACACATGATTTAATGGATGATAATGCATGAGAATTGGTTGGTAGTGATCAGCATAGCATGAGGATTAATTATATACAAAGATTGTTGAGTTTTATGATGGTCAAAAATTGAAGAAAGTTTGGATCCATGGAGTTGTGTGGTTCGGTTTGCATGATGTAGTTAGTTTCAACGAAATCCAAAGGCATGGTTGGATTCTACATAAAATTCTAGTCAAGTTTGGTTCTTGGATCATGGCATTTGATGGAGAAATGAGAGAGAATGAAGGTGATAAAGTTTCATGCATGGAGTTTGTTTTTTCATGGATTCTAAAACCCTAGATGGACCAAGGTTGAAGACATAATCTAGACCATTGATTGTATGTGGACTTGTTGACTTGGAAGACCATCCTGCGGCCGAAATTTTATTAAACTTCAAAAATTCATAACAAATTGAAAAATGCATATTTTTTAATGAGACTTTTTTTCCCATTTTCCATTTTCTGTCTAAAAAAATATAAAAACATAAAATAGCCATTTTATTTCAGTTTTATATTTTTTGTGCATTTTTACTTTTAATTGCTTTTTTTAATTCTTTTAGTTGGTATGCTAACTTGTAGAATTTAATTAGGATAGTTCCCTTAGGATTTTGAGTCCAATTTTTTTAGGATGATTAGATGAATGGTTTAGGGTCCCCCTGAATTAATTTCATAATTTTGTGATAATTTTAGGGTAGTTTTAATTAGGTAGTTCTAGGTAGTATAGAATTTGATTAAAACTTTAGTATAGGTCAATAACAATTGTAGATTTAGGTTTTTTAGGGCAATTTAGTCTATGGGGAATATATGGGACTTAAGGGTAGTTATGTAGGGTCCCCTAGCATTTATATTAGGAATTAATAGAATAATATACTATTTTTGGTTGATTTTTGAATTGATTGATTGTGTGGTGTGCCCTTTCTAGGGTTATTGTTTGATTGTGTGGGGTATTGGGCTTGTTTGGGGCTTGGGTTTGAGCTGAAGACTTTGCTGATGAAGCCCATTGAAGACTAAAGGAATGAAGATCAATTTCCAGAGTTGATGAAGAGTATATCTTGCTGGCAGCTGTTGAAGGTTATAGGATCTAGGAGCTAGGCAGAGCTCTAGAGTAGAAAACTTGCTTCATAAACATGGAAGGTCTTGTTTGCCTCCATCCCTCTCTATGATGCAGAGTCTCTCTAGGACACTCACCCCCTTCCTTTGGAAGACTTGGTGACAGCGTCTAAGAGATAGAACTCTTGAGAGAAACATTCTACCTATTGTTAACAGTCTGTTTGCCACCTTTGGTGGTCAACTAACTGTTTAACATTCCAGTTCATCCTCTTAACTGTTTCTCATCTTGGAGAGTGAGACTTGAAGAAAAGCCCTGAAGGATTAGAGATAGAGACCTTGCTTGAAGGCTATGAAGATGAAGACTGATGCTTGCTTGAAGCTTGTAGATGGTTGAAGATGACTTGAAGACAGATGTTGATGAAGACTGCTGTTTGCTGCTTATTTTTGCTGTTTATAATTCTTGATGTATTGTTTGAATTTCCCTGACTGTATTGTTTGTTGTTTAACCTGTTAGGTTGAAAGCGAATTTTGTTCGCTTTTGCCTGTTGTTTTCTAGGTTCGAGGTTGAGTGGGATTCCCTTGCCTCGCTTGTATTGTTGCATCCATGCATTTTACTGCTTTATTGTATATATGTTATTGTTTCTGTTTCCGTTTATCCCTTAGGATCTCTGTTTCTCTCTGCGCAAGAGAGGAACATGATAGACATTAGGTCTTAACCCATGCATGATAACATTAGGTTAGTGTGATTCCCTTTGCAACCATAGGTTAAAGTTCTGTCTCTTCTTTCTCAAAACAACCAGAAAAACGCAATAAGATTTCAAACACAATAAAAGACACTTCTTCCGTAAAAGAATGTGAACTCGTCAAAACGTCAATTTTTGTCCGCTTGGACTAGTAATCAGAAAAACCCTTTTTTAGAAGGAGATAAAAGCAATCAAGACAGACTTGTGTCGTACGTGGCCCGAACTACGTTTGCTCTGATCTTTCATGCTGTATGAAAGTACGTAGGCATAGGATGCGATATCCTAGCGAGCAACCTTCCCCTCCTTTCCCGTAGGTAGGCGAACTACGTTGACTCTGATTTCTCGTTCCAGACGGGAATACGTAGGCATAAAGTGCGATACTTTGCCGAGTCATTTTATTTTCTTTTTAACCCCAGACCTGTAGAGTAGATAGAATAACAATCCGTACCAGAAAACAAGCGTGGATCCCGTCGAGTACGACGGACGTGAGGGGTGCTAATACCTTCCCCTTGCGTAACCGACTCCCGAATCCAGGTTTTGGTTACGATGACCATTCCTTTCCCCGTTTTGCGGTAGGTTTTCCTCGAGCGTTTCCTTTCCCTCCTTTGGGATAAATAACGCACGGTGGCGACTCTTCTGTCTTGCCGGCACCGATTTTCGCAGTAGCGACAGTTATGTATTTACCCTTATTAAGAAACCTAGATAAAACAAGATAATATAGTTGATGGTCCGCGTGTTTGTCTTGTTTGTATAGATTTCTGTGTAAAAACGCAACGAAAAACACATCTACATTTTCTGGATGCGCCGTTTTGCTCCAAGCATGGGATTGGTCTAGATTGTCATCCCTAGCGCCCATCAACCACAACAACTTCCCATTCCCGTATGTATAAAAGTAAGTTAATAACTTCATATTAGTTAATTCATTTTACTGATTATTGTCTCTAACTAATTTATTTGATTTTTTTTGTTTAGATGGTCGGCTCGCGGTATGAATTACAATATATGTCCTAGACATTGTATCATTCAATACTGCAATCTCTTGGATCACCTTACACCTGGAGATGTAATTTCATTAAATGAACCCATTTATTTTTAATATCGATCTTTTCATGATCTAATATTTTTCTCTTCTACAGTTCATTTGACGTCCATATCTAAACATGGAACACCTACATGAAGTCAGAGAAAAAGATTCAGCCGTTTGGACTACATGCGTATCGATCATCTGATTCACCACTAAGGAGATGCACCATAGTGACCCTGTCAAATTACAGTTTGGAATGCATCAAAACATCCCAGATCCACCGATTGACCTCAGTAAATGGCATCTACAAAAAATTAATGAACAGTGGACTATCCCGATTGAAAAGATTTTGCTAAATCTGAGTGTCACAAATGGAGGAATCGTCGCGCCCATGTCTTATGTGACCGGTGATGGTAACCCTGTCTATACCAACTAATACTTATATGACTTGTTATAGATCGGTTGCAACCGGGGTTGTCTCCGAAAAGAGGTATCTATACGACGCACGACAAACCACCTACACACAAGAAACTTCAACGTCTAACCCACCAGGAAATTATCAGACCTGTTACTCACAACCCACTACCCAACAAAATTACTGACCCACAAACACACAAACCCACAATCTAAACATGTCAAACACCCAACCACAATACCAAGAGCGTCCCCCATACCATATCCAACAAAATGACTATTATCAAGATACCCAAAATGCATATGCTCCAAACATAACATCAAGATATAACAAAAACGCCCAAACATGTTTCCATTGCCAAAATGCTCAAACATCACACCATAACCGACACATACAAACATCACAACAACCTTGTGGCTTTCAAACACCACTACCATTTCAACCTTTCACCAATTAATCCTTCACACTAATGTCCCCCTTCAATCGTCCAGGTTGTACACCAATGACCCCTTCATCACATCCCAACTACTCTGATATGGGTCACGAACTCAATTTCAACACACAAGACTTCTTAGAAATGCAAGAAATTCTTAAAGATTATGTTGGAGATGTTTACGAGACCTCAAATCCTCCAACACCTAGAGTGAATCAACAACGAAGGCAACGAGGACAACGAGTAAGAGTGGCTAGAAGATGTGGAACCGGTGCCCGGTATGACCAATCCGGTCGCCGTCATTAATTTATGTAATATTATTTTTAATTAAATATTAATGTTAATTATCCATGTTAAAAAATTTTATGACTACACTCTATTTTCAAATGAATTGACAACACCATTCAATTTTTAACACCCTGTCGTCAATTGAATTGACAACACCATGTAATATCTTCAATCCAATTGGCGACACCTCTTAAGCCCAATAAACATTCGCCAATTGAATTGACGCTAACAATGAAACACACCCCCAAAATAGAGTACTTTAAAAAATAAACTAAAAAGTGAATTATTTTAGAATTTTTTTTTAAAATATGGGATATTTAGGTAAAAAATAAGATAGAATAATTATTCCATAAATTTAAAAAGTAATTTTTTTATTATTAAATAACGAAGGTAGTGTTAAATTATATACAATTTAATAGAAAGATCAAATTATTCTGCATAATTTAAATCCAAAGTTTTGTTATCATTCACAAGTTTCATTTTCATACATGTAAAAGTTGTATTGAAATTGTAACTAAACAAGAAATTGATATTTCCTAAGAAAGAAAAGAGCCTAACTATGTCTTGTTAGGTGTGTGGCAATTGTAAATTCACTGAACGAGTTAACTCACCCGAGTCAACTCATCGAATCTCAAAACTCACTGTAATCCATCAATCCACCATTATAGATCTCAGTTTCTCTCTACTCTCACACACTCACAGCAGAGAAAGAAGATGGATACAAAAACGACGTCGTCTTCTTCGAGCGTTGAACCATTGAAGAAGAAAAAGAAAGAGTGTTTAGGTTGGATAGAATGGTTTAGAGGATGGTTCAATTTAATCTACGAATTTCTATTCCAACGAATCATGGCGAGTCACTTGGAGAACCCTATGCCGCTACCACCAATCAATGATCTCACTTGTATTGTTACTGGTTCCACTAGTGGCATTGGTCTTGAAATTGCTAGGTAAATTCTTTTTCTTTAAATTTGTTGGTTTTTGATTGAATATTAATTGTGGGGTTTTGTTTTTTATTGAAAAACTTTGATCTTTGTAATTGGGGTTTGTGGTTGATATTTGATTATGGAGAAATGGGTAGTTTTAGGAAGTGGGTATGTGTTGTTATATAGTACTATGTTGGAAAGGAGGGGTATTTATGGTTCTTCATTGAAGTGGATCATAGAATGTTGTTTTACTTTTTGTTAAAAGTCGAGGTAGTCAACTAGGCATTTTTGATATGCTATGTGTTCCTCACTATGTAACGCCTCTGAGAAAATGTGTGTTAGTGTCCGAAACCGACGCCGATTTTTTCTATTTCGTTTAATTTATTCATTTTTTCAAATTATTATCTGTGGCGACCGTAAGTATCAGTGTCGTGTTTCCAGTGTCTGTGCTTCATAGGTTTCTCTGTGTCTGTGCTTCATACTTCATAGGTTCCTCACTTGACTGTGTTTTTCTGTCTGAAATCATAAATCATAAATAATGATGTTCTATGAATGGTTGATCATTCTCACTTTATGGTTTGGAGTTTGACAAGTTTTTTTTTTCTAATGTTGTTATTTCTATTATGCAGGCAATTGGCACAATCAGGGGCACATGTTGTTATGGCCGTGAGGAATGCGAAGGCGGCTACTGAGCTAATCCAGAAGTGGCAGATTGAATCTGCAGGATTGGGTATTGCGCTCAATGTTGAGGTATCTAGCATGAACCAACTATCTCAAAACTTAGCAAGTTGGGTGTATAAACACAGATGATTTATATTGTATTTTTGTTATTGGATAAGTGTTTTTTGCATAATGCTTAAGAGATAGTTTTTGGTTGAATATATTTTGAGATCAAAATGTGTTTTAGTTCATTCGCATGCTTCAGTTTTAGTTCTGTTTATTTACTTTCACTTTTGGCTTGTCAAGGTCATGGTGGTGGATCTTCTATCATTGGATTCGGTTGCTAGGTTTGCTGAAGCGTGGAATGCCCGCGCAGCACCCTTGCACGTTCTCATTAATAATGCTGGCATTTTTTCCATTGGAGGTTAGTATTTCCGACATCGTTGATGATTTTCAGCCTATCTTTTGTCAATGATTCTGAATCAGTTAAACTGTTATCGTCTTTTACTGTAACTAGGTTAGATTATCAAGGTTATAGAGTAGTGATAGATATTTCCCGATTGGTTCTTATTGAATACAATTGTAACTAAACTGGTCACTTGTTTATGGTCTTTTTCAGAGCCACAGAAATTTTCAAAAGACGGTTATGAAGAACACATGCAAGTGAATCATCTTGCTCCTGCTATGCTTTCAATACTTCTTTTGCCATCTCTTATTAGGGGCTCCCCTAGTCGAATTGTGAACTTGAATTCCATCGTAAGTCTTTTGTTATTTAAACTCTAAAATGCACAATTCTACATAGGATTTTAACCGACGAATCAAAATTTCCTTCCTATTTTCTAGTCAAAACATTCCCTTTTTTTCTGTAGATGCATCATATTGGCTTTGTTGATGCTGAAGACATGAATGCCACTTCAGGAAAAAGAAAATTTTCTAGTCTGACGGGATATTCAAACAGCAAATTGGCACAGGTACTTAATTTACACGAATCTGGCATGCATGCTGCATCGTTGTGGAAATCCAATGGTGTAATATGCCTTGAAAGTGAATTGATTGGTTTACTTCCATCTTGTAACTGTGAATGAAAAAGGAGTTTGTGTTTTTATTGCAGGTTATGTTCAGTAGTGTTCTTTTTAAGCGAGTACCTGCCGAAGCTGGCATCAGTGTGTTGTGTGTATCGCCTGGAATTGTTCAGACCAATGTTGTAAGTATTTCGAAATAAATAACTACATATCTGTTCCTGGATGGAATAAGCTTGAGCTGAACTTGTCTTAGACTTAATCTTGAAAACATGTTGAGGTGTTTGATTTAGAGTTTATAACTTGGACTAGCATAGTTTGTGGTACCATCAAGAATTCAATCCTTAAAGTCCAAAATTACGTCAGTGGGAGATCATAATCAGACGTAGTACAGGGAAACCCAAATCACTGTTGAATTTAGTTTTATGTTGGATACCTAGTCCCCCTAATGTTTGTTTTAAATATTAGAATTCAGTTGATTTAAAAGAAAAATTGTTTGCAATATTTTAATTCCTTTTTGCATACACAGATACAGCGATACTTTTGTGATCATTATCTGTCTATTTTTCGAGTTGAACTTTAATGTAACTTTGGGTTATTCAGGAGAATTATCAAGAATGTCAATTATATTGAAGAGAATGTATGAAACATAAGGTTGATTAAATAGAATTCTTTAGATTTAACTAAAACTGTATTTTATAACTGACGCGAAACGGTTAATTTCGTAGTTCTCATATTTTGTTCATCAGTTTAAAGGTTATGCTGTTAAGCGCCTGTTTGTTTTCGAGTTTGGCCCTCTAAGCAATTTCATCTTATTTCAATAATTTTACCATAGTTTATGGTGAATGGAGCATCGGTGATTTTCGGATTAAAATAATTGACAGCAAATTTTTGGACTTAAGTTATTCATACCTTGTGGATTTTGTGAATTTTTTGATAAGGAGTGTAGATTAGATGGAGAGAAACCTAAACACGTCTTACTTTTACTGCATTATTTCACAAGATTTCTACTTTGCTAAAACTTTGAACCTCATCTATGCAGGCAAGGGATCTTCCAAAATATGTTCAAACTGGATATCATTTGATACCTTACTTCATCTTTAATGCTCAAGAAGGTTTGTTGTTCACTGCTTTTATTGAATTTAATCAACATGTCCTTGTTTTACACGATCATTTGTGAGAATTGTGGTTATAGAAACGTTATATAGCACTGAAACTTATCAGAATTTGAACAAATCACCATTTTACGCTATCAGCCAGTGATTTCAAGTGTTTTCATTATAGAAGTACTTAAGAATCTCGAGTTTTATCTCTAAAATCTATTCATGCTAGATGATACTTGTGCTGCAATGCAGGTTCTAGGAGTACACTTTTTGCTGCGACTGATCCTCAAATTACCGAGTATTGTGAATTATTGAAATCAGATGAATGGCCTGTCTGTGCCTATATTTCTCATGACTGTCGACCCACGAATCCGTCAGAAGAAGCACACAATCTTCAAACTTCATATGAAGTATGGGAAAAGACATTAGAGATGACCGGCCTTCCTTCAGATTGCGTGGAGAGGTTTCTAGAGGGCGGAGAAGTTAAATGTCGTTACGGACAAGAACAACAATGACACAACCATAACACAAGTATCTCCACATGATCTTTTACTATTTATAGCTTGTAATGAGCATTTCATTTTGAATATGAGGGAAAACTCATAATTTTTTCAACTAGATTGACATCCCTTGATTTGCTAGGGTGTGTTTGTAGGGGTAAATTTCCAAATCCAAAAAGTTTATGTACATTAGTTTTTTTTTTGCTCTATAGGAATAAGAACTAAACTAGCACTATGTTGTATCATTATTTTGACCTTGGTAATTGGTGAATGAATGTCCTAAAGAACTAAGAGGGTTTTATCTTATAATGGTTGTTTTCAATTTGAGTATGTGGTATTAAAATCTTCAAATTATCATCAATGCTTTTGAGTTATTCTCTAATTATTTTATTGATTAGGGATTGATCTAAGTTTTATAGAAATAATGATTTAGTTAATAAAATTAAGTAATAATTTGTTGTATTTTGAGACAAATTTGTATGTTTATTGGCTTTATGTTATTTTAAGACATGAACCATCATTATATTATCTATATGCCTAAATGTACTATAGTATTATGCAAACAAATCACAAACATATAGGGATGACATACAAACAAATTATTATGAAACAAAGATGAAATACAAACAAATCATTATGAAACAGGGATGAAAACCAAAATGTCATAAACATAAAATTATTATGAAACAAAGATGAAATACAAACAAATCATTATGAAACAGGGATGAAAACCAAAATGTCATAAACATAGAGAGACAAACTTCATTAATTTCAAAGGTTCTTATGCATTCAATACTAAACATTACGGAAACGACATTAGACAATTATTCTTCTTTTAAGGACTAAAACAAAAACATATATACAAACACCATGAACATCATTCTCACTACCATTTCTGGCAAGTAAAGAACAAACACCATGATGTAGTCAACAAAAGCTTAAAAAATGTTGAGATGGTAGTGAGAATGATGTTCATGGTGTTTGTATATATGTTTTTGTTTTAGTCCTTAAAAGAAGGATAATTGTCTAATGTTGTCTCTGTAATGTTTAGTATTGAATGCATAAGAACCTTTGAAATTAATGAAGTTTGTCTCTCTATGTTTATGGCATTTTGGTTTTCATCCCTGTTTCATAATTATTTGTTTGTATTTCATCTTGTTTCATAATGATTTGTTTGTATGTCATCCCTATATGTTTGTGATTTGTTTGCATAATACTATGGTACATTTAGGCATATAGATAACATAATGATGACTCATGTCTTAAAATAACATAAAGCCAATAGGCATGCAAATTTGTCCCAAAATACACACCATAACAAAGTATCAAACTATAACAAAATACATCAAGAGATAACCATAACAAAATACACCATGACACAACCATAACAAAATGCTTAATTTCTACACACACATAGGTTTTGATGGACCACTTCCATCTCCTATGAGTTTTTTGCATTTAAGCACCATTGTCCTATCACTTCTCCTTAACTCAAATTTCCTTGAAACTTTTGGTTTGATTGACTTCTTCTTCTACAAAAAAAAACATAATATTAGATATGCAACAGGTACAACACATCTATAGGTTCAAGTCATTATCAAATGGTTTAATAAATTCAACTGATTTTAGAACTCTAGTAGTAGTAGAAACAAGTGCAGTAAGTACTTCATTAATTATTGGAACAAGTATAAAAAATATATAGTCTAGTGCAGAAAGTGTTATACCAGAATCAGTATGTGAAGATGTAACATGTGCACTATGAAATGATGTAATAGTTGCACTCTGAGCTGATGTAACATGTACACTCTGAGGTGATGTAACATTTCCAGCAAGATTTAGTTGAGTCTGAGTTGCCTCAAATGCTGCTGCAAGATTTGCAACAAGCATTTCAAACTCAGGGCCAACTTCAGTTTAAAGTTCATTTATCACTAGTTATTTCTAGGTTGCAGCTCCAATCTCAGTAGGTTGAATTTGACTTTATTCTTGGGTTGCATTACTAGATGGTTGGGTTGTATTGCCTGTTGTAGTTTTCTTTGGCTTTCTCTGGACATAAAATTCACAACATTAGTAAAATATCGATGTCATTAATAACATACTCAAAGTATGAACATGTTCAATACCTTCATTTTTTGAGTTTCAGGGTCAACCACTTGACTTGTACAACTTCTTGCATTATGGCCATGTATACCACATCTTGTGCAACAATAACTTGTTTGTGTCCTTCCCTTATTAGGGTCTTCATCAGGTTCCCTGCTCCTTAATTTCTTTGGATTTCCAAGTCTTCTTTTATATGATGGAGGTAACATCTCTTCCATGTCAACCTTTAGCCACATGTATTGTCCATTAATAAGACTTACATTATGACCATAACACGTCAGATAAGTTTCCTTGGAGTAATAATCATCCACATAATCTTCAGGCATTGGTTGCTAAAACCTAATGCAGCTACTGCATGTCTACAGAGGATGCCTACTAATTCCCAAAAGTTACACGTGCATGTTTTTTTAAAGTATCCAAAATAAAACTATTCATGGTATGGATATGTTCAACTTCCTATAATGTTTCACCAAACCAATTTGGAATCCAATTCCCAGCATGTTCTACTTCCTTATCTAACCTAAGTCTAGGTCTATGCATTATCCTATGTTGCCATCTATCATAACCACTTCCTTTTCAATTGAATTTTAGATGAACATCATCATCACTCTATTGCAACCACAAACTGGGATTTGAGACTAAAATCAATTACCTACTGATGATGTTTCCATGGATGAATGTGTAGCAACCTTAACATTAATGTTGTCTAGCGAGGGAGAATTGCATAATATGATTTGAAGAGAGGAAGAAGATGATGCAAATAATATATGTTTTTGAATTTAGTTCTCATTTTTAACCCCCCCTACACTTATTAGAATATTAATAGTAATTCATATTTATTTAGTTGTACTATTTTTATTAGCCCCTAAGTTTGTTAGAGGGTAATTTAGTATTTTATCTTATTCTAGTAACCCTAGTTTTAGCTTATAAATAGGGTGACAATCATTGTAACTTTAATCTTGTTTTTCTGCCGTCATTCTTAATAGAATATTTCTACCTTTCATCATTTATTCTACCTTTGCACCAACAATTGGTATCTAGAGCTCCGGTTCAGATTCATTGGGAAACACGGGAAACACGAGTGAACGTGAGGTCTTGTGTGTTTGATTTTGATTCTTAGATTCGTGTTGAATCTTGAACAAAATCTGATCATAATTTTATTTTGTGGGTTGGGAAACACTGTGTGAGAAATCTGAGTTTATTGTGCAAGGTAGAAGATGAACGGAAACGGCAACATGAACACCAAACTTTCAGTATTTGATGGTAAAAACTGGAATCGTTGGATGATCCAAATGCGTGTACTATTTGGTGCTCAAGATGTTCTAGATCTTGTCACTGATGGTTATGTTCCAGTAGCAGCAGATGCAACGGATGAACAGAAAAACGCGCAGAAGGAAGTAAGGAAGAAGGATCAGAAAGCATTATTCTTTATTCATCAATGTGTGGATGTAAATGTGTTTGAGAAGATTGCAGATTCAACAACAGCAAAGGCTGCGTGGGACACACTGGTGAGATGTTATGGTGGTGACGCATCAGTGAAGAAGGTGAAGCTTCAGTCCTTGAGAAAGCAATATGAGAATCTCAACATGAAGAATAATGAGAAAGTCTCTGAATACATCTCCAGAATGATTCTGATCACTAATGAGATGAAGGCGTGTGGAGAAACTCTTTCAGAAGAAACAATAATGGAGAAAGTATTGAGATCCCTTACTCCTCAATTTGATTACATTGTGGTAGCAATAGAACATTCCAAAGATCTGAGCACCATGAGAATTGAAGAGCTGCAGAGCAGTCTAGAAACGCAAGAGTTGCGTTTGACTGAGAGAACTTCTGAAAAGGAAGTAGAGCAGCATGCTCTGAAAGCAACTTCTGATAGGAGGTATCAGAAGCAGTCAGAAGCCAGGAGAAGATCTGATGGTGGTCAGAAGTCAGAAAGCTCAACCTCTGATAGACAAAAGAATGCTCAGAAGGGAAAAGAGAAGTATGACAAGAAGAAGATCCAATGTTACTGTTGCAAGAAGTTTGGTCACTTTGCTAGAGATTGCTGGTCAAACAAGGAGAAGAAATCAGAAGAAGCAAATATAGCCAGAAGTTATGATGACGAATCTGTGCTATTGATGGCCTCTGAATCTGATAATATGGATCTGATAGACTGGTGGTATATGGACACTGGCTGTTCAAATCATCTTACTGGAAACAAGAAATGGCTGGTTGACTTTGACTCTGAAAAGAGAACAAAGATCAGATGTGCTGATGACAAATATCTTAATGCAGAAGGTATGGGAAATGTCAGAGTGATTCTGAACAATGGGAAAACAACATTGATTCAGAACGTGTGGTATGTACCTGACATCAGAAGCAATCTGATGAGTGTGGGACAATTAATTGAGAAAGGTTTTTCAGTTACCATGAAGGATAATCTTCTGAAGCTGTATGACTGCAATCAGAAGTTGATTATGGAGTCAGAACAGGGAAGGAATAGAACATTCAAGGTGAATGTCAGAACTGCAGACTCAGAATGTCTTAGTGCAACATGTGCTGAGAAGGAGAGTGAGCTGTGGCACAGAAGATTTGGTCATTTGAATTTCAGAAGCCTAAAACATCTGAATTTAAAGAAGTTGGTACATGGAATTCCTGCAATTAAGAAGCCTGAGAAGTCATGCAAAGTTTGCATGGAAGGAAAACAACCACGTTTGCCATTTGCGTCAGAAGTTGCTCCAAGAGCAAAACATGCCTTGGGAGTTGTACATTCTGATGTGTGTGGTCCATTTCCAGTAGCATCAATTGGAGGGAATAAATACTTTGTGTTATTTGTTGATGAATTCACAAGAATGACATGGGTATCTCTTATTAAGTTCAAACACGAGGTGTTTGATGAATTCAAGAAATTCAAAATGAAGGCTGAGAATCAGAGTGGTCAGAAGTTGAAGATTCTTAGAACTGATGGTGGAGGTGAGTATAACTCCAAAGAGTTCCAGAAGTTCTGTGAGGAGAATGGAATTGAGCATGAGGTTACTGCTCCTTATACCCCTCAACACAATGGTCTTGCTGAAAGAAGAAACCGTACTTTGCTTGATATGGTGAGAAGCATGCTAAAGGAGAAGAAGCTTCCTCAGAAGCTCTGGGGAGAAGCTGTTGCCACTGCAACGTATGTACTCAACAGATGTCCTACGAAGAAGTTGAAGGAAATAGTTCCTATGCAGAAGTGGACTGGAGACAAGCAAAGTTTTAGTCATCTGAAGGTGTTTGGTTCTGTTTGCTATAAACATGTTCCAGAAGCCAGAAGACAGAAGCTGGATGATAGAAGCAAAGTGATGATTCTGATAGGGTACCATAGTACAGGTGCATACAAGCTCTATTGTCCAGAAACCAATAAAATTGAATTCAGCAGAGATGTGATTGTGAAGGAATCAGAAGTTTGGAATTGGGATAAGTCTCAATCTGATTCTGATGTTAGAACTTCTGAAGAAAGGTCAGAGTTAAAAATTTCTGAAGTTGAAGTAAACTCTGACGTTGATTCTGACTCTGATAGTGATTCTGACTCTGGAGAAGACTCAGAAGATGAAGGTGACTCTGATGATCCAGACTTTGATGGTAATCCAGATTCTGGTGGAAATTCAGACTCTGAAGATGGCCAAAACTCTGAAAATATGCCAGATCTTGAAGATGGTCAAAGCTCTAGAGGAAGTCAACCATCTGAAGCTGGAAACTCTGAAGCTCAAGACTCTGAACAAGTTCAGAGACCATAAAGAATCAGAAGCGTTCCCAGAAGATTTGCAGAATTTGACATGCTGCAAGACACTGAAGTAGACTCTGAAGGAGAAGTTATTCAGTGTGCCATGTTAGTAGACTCTGAACCTATAAGTACAGAGGAGGCTCTTAAGCAGAAGCTCTGGCTGAAGGCCATGAAAGAAGAACTTGATGCTATAGAGAGTAACAAGACTTGGAAGCTGACAGAACTTCCAAAAGACAAGAAAGCCATCAGCGTTAGATGGGTTTTCAAGCAGAAGTTAAAGCCAGATGGTTCAATTGGCAAACATAAAGCAAGGTTGGTAGCCAGAGGATTTCTACAGAAACCTGGGCTGGATTACTCTGAAGTGTTTGCACCTGTAGCAAGACATGAAACAATCAGAATGGTGATTGCAATAGCTGCTAACAGGAATTGGCCTCTGATGCATTTAGATGTAAAATCTGCATTTCTGAACGGTCCATTAGAAGAAGAAGTTTACGTGTCACAACCTCCTGGATTTGTGAAAAAGAATCAGGAAGGGATGGTGTACAGACTATACAAAGCTCTATATGGATTGAAACAAGCGCCCAGAGCTTGGAATCAGAAGATTGATTCATTTTTCAAGAAGCAAGGCTTTCAGAAATGTGAGATGGAGTACGGTGTCTATGTTCAGCATACTTCTGAAGGCAATATGACTCTGGTATGTTTATATGTTGATGATATACTATTGACTGGAAGTTCTGAACAGGAGATAGCCAAGTTCAAGAAAGTTCTGATGAATGAATTTGAAATGACTGATCTAGGCAAAATGACATACTTTCTAGGGATAGAGTTCAGATATTCTGAGAAAGGTATCATTTTGCATCAGCTCAAGTATGAATTAGAACTTCTGAAGAGATTTGATCTGAAGAATTGTAAGATGGCTGTCACACCTTCTGATACAAATCAGAAACTGGATTCAGACTCTGAAGGAAAGGATGTGGACGCTACAACCTTCAAACAGTTGGTTGGTTCTCTGAGGTATCTGTGCAATACCAGACCTGATATCTGCTACTCAGTTGGGATGGTTAGTAGGTTCATGAGTAAACCTAAGTGGTCCCATTACCAAGCTGCTGTCAGGATTCTGAGGTATATCAAAGGAACTCTGAAGTATGGAGTGTTATTTCCCTCTGGAGGAAATAATGAGTCAGAACTTCTGAGTTATTCAGACTCTGATTGGTGTGGAGACAGAGTTGACAGAAGAAGTACATCTGGGTACTTGTTCAAATTTCTGGGAGGTTCCATTTCTTGGTGTTCCAAGAAGCAACCTGTTGTGGCGTTGTCAACCTGTGAAGCTGAATACATTGCAGGTGCTGTTACTGCATGCCAAGCTGTGTGGATTCTGAATCTGTTGCAGGATCTGAAGATTAAAGTAGACAAACCTCTGAAGTTGATGATTGACAACAAGTCTGCAATCAATCTTGCCAGAAACCCAGTGTTGCATGGGAGAAGCAAGCATATTGAGACCAAGTATCATTTTCTGAGACATCAAGTTCAGAGTGGAGTGTTAGAAGTTGTACACTGCAGCACTCAGAAGCAGTTGGCAGATGTTCTGAC